GTCTGCAGCCCCTGTGAGATGGTGACGCAGGGTGGGAGCTGCCCCTCGTCCCCCGGGGGGACACCAGGATCCTGTCCCCAGGCCCAGCTGTCGCAAACACTCACTGCCCCTCCCTCCCGTCCCTGCAGGTGTCGGTGGGCAGCCGGCTGGGGATCTGCACGGTGGCCATGCTCAGCAGGATGGACGGGCCCCTGGGGCAGCGCGTGGGCCACTCCCTGGAGGTGCTGGAGGCCCTGCAGTGCCTGGAGGGCCAGGGGCCAGCGGATCTGCATCACCTGGTCACCACGCTAGGTGTGGGGAGCTCCAGAATGGCAGCGCTGGCGGGACAAGAGCTGCCCAAGGGTTAATGCTATCCCTGGACAGCGATGAGTATGGGCGGCGGGTGAACGGGGGCTTGGGGAGGCTAGCCCCCAGCTGGACTGCCCCCTCTGCCCAGGGCCCCGCACCTCCCAGCCCCCCTTCCCCCGCCGGAGCCCAGATGGGCCCCCCACCACCAGCCCCAGGCCACCTGAGTGCTCCCCACTCCCCTCAGCCCCGAACTGCCAGGCAGGCGGGCAGTTGAGCGCGGCCCCCAGCCGCCCCAGCCCCCGAAGGTCAGGCAGGCAGTTGAGCGTGGCCCCCAGCCGCCCCAGCCCCCGAAGGTCAGGCGGGCAGTTGAGCGCGGCCCCCAGCCGCCCCAGCCCCCGAAGGTCAGGCGGGCAGCGCGAACACTGGCTCCAGCCGCCCAGAGTCCCTGGCTGCAGGCTGAGCACCAGAGCCCTCCCAAAAGGTGGAGACAAAAGCAGCCCCCTACCCGCCCCCAGCTGCCTGAACATCTGGCCCGCGGTGCAGCTCTCCCCGACCAGGCTCTGACTGGCGGGGGGGGGGGCTCGGAGCCGCAGCCCAGCCATGATAAGAGCCGGACGGGCAGCTGTGGGGAGCCAGGGCAGACCCTCCACCTGCCCGCGGTGCGGGGGGCCCAAGCAGCCCCCAGACCCTGTCCCACACCCAGGGCAGGTGGAGGGTCAGGGAGAGCCGCGCGGGCAGTGTGAGGAGCCGACGTGGACTCACACGAATGAACGTCCACACAGAGCTGCCACCTCCTAGTACCAGCCCTTTGTCCCCTCCTGCCCCTGGCTTGGCTACAGTCATATCCCGCCCTGCCCCCCCCCTCACCCCCGGACTGAGAGCATGAGGAGAAGTGGGGGCGGAGGCCAGTAGCTGAGAGCGGCTCTGGGCCATTGGGCTCCCCGTCACAGCTGGGTGACTGGGTGGAACGGGGCCCAGGGGCAAGCCTGGGGCTGCCACATACCAGGCTTGCTGGGGGGCTGTGCCGGGGACGACGGGACGAGAGCAGCACCTTGGGGCAGAGGGGTGGGAGGGGGCTGCGGGGGGGGGTCTCCATGTGCAGGAGTGAGACCCCGGCCCATCTCTCCCTGCGCAGGGGGCTCTCTGCTGTGGCAGTGCGGGAAGGCCGGCTCAGTGGGGCAGGGCGCCGCCCGCATCGCAGCCTCGCTGGCTGATGGCTCGGCCCTGGGGAAGTTCCAGGCCATGCTGCAGGCCCAGGGGGTGGAGGCCGGCATGGCCCGGGCCCTGTGCACAGGGACGGAGGAGCAGCGCTACCAGGTGCTCGGCCGGGCTCGTGCCCAGGAGGAGCTGCCCGCGGCCCAGGACGGTAAGCGGGGGTGGGGAACGAGGGTGGGGCAGCCCCAGCCTGCAGGGGGAGCTGCTCTCTGCCCCCCACCGCAATAGGAACCAAAGGAGCTGGTGCTGGGGAGAGGGGCACAGGCTAGTGCCCCCCACCCTGGCCCCAAGGGACAGTGGGGGAGGCAGGTTGTACTGCCTTCTGCACCCCAATGTCTCCAAGCTCCCCCCCCCCATCCCCACGCCTGTGACCCCAGCCCCGGCTCGCAGGCTCCGTAACTGCTGACCTGTCTCCGCCCTTCTCCCCAGGCACAGTGCAGAGGGTCGAGGCCCTGCCCATCGCCCAGGTGCTGCATGAGCTGGGAGCCGGCCGCACCCAGAAGGGGCAGCCAATCAACCACCACGTGGGGGCCGAGCTGCTGGTGACGGTGGGGCAGCGCGTGGCTAAAGGTAAGAGCCAAGTGCACCCCGCCCAGGGCGTCTGCTTGCCGGGCTCTCCACCCACCCACCTGCTCTGCGCTGCCTGCCCTGGGGTCTGCTCCTGGGGCCAGACTCCAGCCAGGACCAGCCAGTCCCTTGGACCTTCTGTCTATTTTAGGGTTTTATTCCGCTGCCCATTCCCGCAGTATCTGACCTGCTCTGGGGCACCCATCCCCTTTGCCTGGCATAATCCAGTTATTCTGCAGCTGGCACTGCCAGTTCAGTGGTACAGAGCCTGGGGGCTCCCTTGGGTTCCCTTTGCCTAGGTGTAGATGGCACTTCTGGACTGAGGGCCCTGGGCTGGGGCCTGGCACTGGCTTGGGGAGGGGAGAGACACCTGGCACTACCCCCCCTACCAAACTGCAAATGGGGTGGATGGGATTAGAGCAGGTGGAGGGATTGGGAGGGACTGGTGCACACTTGGGGAGCCCCGGCCAGGCCAGCCCATGACTCCTGACACCCCAAGACGACCTGAGAAGCTCCTGCCCCCCGTCCCTTGGGTTAGGAACCAGCTGCTTCCTGTTTTGATCCCATCTCTGCCCAGGGAATGATGCCCTTGCTGCCCATCCCAGCCCCAGCAGGTGCACCCCAAGAGCCCCGCTCCCTCCCAGTGCTGTCCTTCCCCACACCCAGCAGGGGGTGACAAGTGTCTCAGCCCCCGCCCCCCATTTCCGTAGGTTCACCCTGGATCCGGATTCACTACGACACCCCGGAGCTGAGCAACGATCAGAGACGCACCCTGCAGGGGGCGCTGGTCCTGGCAGGCTCGGAGCCCTTCGCGCCCAGCTGCAAGGTCGCAGAGATCATCCTGCCACAGGGCAGCCGGTCACTGGAGGAGGTGACAGGGGAGCAGGGCTTGGGGAGCAGCCAGGCACTGCTCTGCTCTGCCTGAAGGGAGGGGTCCCCTGCCAGCTGGCTCCCCACAGCCCCATGCAGACGCTGCCCCCAGGGACCCTCTGCCGCCTGGACAGTGCAACTTGCCATCACCCTTCACCCCAGTGCCAGCCCCTGCCAGCGCTAACGACTGAGCAATAAAGTGTCTTGCTCTGCTACCCGCAGTGATGATTTGGGGTAACAGCCAGTCCCTCGCCTTCTGCTGCACTGTAGCCAGGAGGTTCGGGCTGGGCCGGACGCTTGGCTCTAGGGGTGCTGCCCCCTAGAACGACCCAGCCCGCCCGTCCTCTGTCGCGGGCACCCTCGGGCGTCCGCCTTGCCACCACGACTCAGGCAGGCCGCTCATGTCGGGCTGCCGCTCACTGCCGGGCTGCCCACGGGGACAAAGCAGCTTCCGTTGGCGGCTCTGTTTGACGCCTTCCTCCGCTGCGTGCCGCCTGCACCGGGCCAGACGGGCGGCGCCAGCACGGCAAG